CCAAAACCCCCCCCCCCCCCAACAGAAAACATTAAAATAAAAATAAATAAAATAAATAATTTAAAAAATAATTTTAAAAAACACCCTGGCATGACATCACATGACGCCGCGCATTGCACGGCGCTGGGTGATGTCACACGCCTGTTGGGGGGGCACTTTTTTGTTCCTGCCTCGGGCGCAAAAGGAGCTAGCTACAGCTCTGCACTAAAGGGTGAAAAGTTTGGAGACGACAGGAGAAGTGAACAATCTAGGACAACATAGCTGAACTGAAAAGTGAGCTGAATTGGAGAATTTTTACAAATCAGCTGTTTTGGCCTAGATTGTTCACTTCTCCTGCCTTCTCCAGACTCTTCACGCTTCAGTGAATAACCCAGAACATTTTCACTTGATACAAAAAATTAATCCATGATACTTCATCCTTTTTTGTTCCAGGCAGGAGCCCTATGGTTCCAACGCATCAGAATATGAAGACCAAAGTATGATGGGAAAATTTGTAAGAGTGGAGAGACAGGTACAGTACAAACCACCATTCTAGTAATGTTGGATATTCATACAGGGTTTAGACAGCCTGTACACTAATAGGTATTATGCTGGCCAAACACAGAACTAGACATGAGACGCTGAACATGATTTCACAGTAAACTTGCAGTTTTAGCATTCGCCAAAATACATTCACAATACTAGACCCACCAATCAGAGCACTATATACATTCAGAGTGCCAGCTTGTATCTATTCAGAGCATTAGAAGGGTCACAATAATATATGGCCCATGAAAATCATCAGTAAATGTTATTATTTAGAGGAACTAATTGTCTGAGAAATCTTAGAATACATTTTTTTCACTTGGTACAAAAAGTTCATCCATGAGACTTCGTCCTTTTCTTGTAAATGTAGAAAGACTTTCTAGTAATGGGACGGCATATATTAGGTGAATTTTTAGTTTACTTTTCCTTAGTAACACCCAGTGGCGGAACTATCACCAGAACTATCACCAGAGCAACCCAGGCGGCCACTATTAGGCCCGGGGCAGGGGTTCCCCTGATGCCGTGCAGGCCGCCTGGGTCGCTATGGCATCTCAGGCTGATGGCTGACACTGGCGGCTGTGAGGAGGAATGCGCCGCTGTTCACATCACTGACAACCTGTCACTGATCTGTACTGCGGCGTGTTCCTCCACACATCCGCTGCTGAGTCAGTGACAGCCAGCAGCTGCAGAGGAGGAGGGTACGGCGTCGGCAGCGGAGGAGGTGCCCGATGACGGAGGAGGCGGGGCCCACCAGTGAAAGTGATGGAGGAGGCGGGCCAGGCGACCGTCGAGGGGGAGCTGATCGGGGCTGGCAGGTAAGAGGTGTGCCATCCCACCTGAGACCCTGCAGAGCCCACCATAGAGAGTATATGGTGGGCTCTGCAGGGTCACTCTCAGGTAGGCTGTTTGGGATCTCAGGTGGGCTCTGCAAGGGGTGCAACTAGAAATTACAGGGCCCCATACAAAATGTTTCTATGGAGCCCTGTAATTTCTAGTTACGCCCCTGGTAACACCTTTTGGTGAACTGGTCTAAAATTTTTGTAAGGTAACAGCTATGCTGAAGTGTGGGAAACTTATAAAGTCTGCTAAGCTGATCTAACTGATGCTGAGACAACCAAGTTGTTATTAACAAAGGTTTACGGTGATTCCATTTATATGTTTAATACTTTGAATTTTCTTTGTTCGTTGGATCAGGTCCAAGACATGGAAAAGAAACTGGATTTTCTGGTTGACATGCACATGCAACACATGGACCAGTTACAGGTCCAAGTTACAGAATACTATCCACTCCAAGAGGCAACGGTAGAAGAAGAAGGAGAAGAGAGCCGATACTCTGAAGTTGGGAGGGTAATTTATAACTATTCAGAGTCTTGCTCCCATGTGGATCCCTACAGCTTGCACCAAGTTTCATTTAACAAAATGGACCAGTATGGGTTCTTTGAGAACTACCCCGTGGATTTTACTTCACCCATGCCTTTTAATGGTGACAGTTGTTCCAGAAGGTCCATGTCCTCTCCAGCTAACTACACTGAAAGGCCAACAGTTTTGCCTATTCAGACTTTAATAAACACGGGGATGGATTTTCGACACGAACGAGAGGTATCAAGTCCTCACGTTGAGAGGGCCTCCCCTATCCATAGAAGAAGTTTTACAAGGGACAGTGACACCTCGTTATCTTTTCTATCAGTGAACCACGATGAACTTCAGAGGTCCCCCAGCGGGTTCAGCATTTCCCAAGAAAAAGAAGAATTTAATTTTGGTCCCAATGGCTCAACGTGGATGCGAGATAAACGTTTCTTAGCAGAAGGTGAAACGGACACCGATACAGACCCATTTACACCGAGCGGCCCCATGACTTTGTCGTCAACGGGAGAGGGTATCTCTGATTTGGCATGGACACCTTCTAAACCTATGTAAAACAAAATGAGGGGAGAGGGAGGGAGATTTATCTTTTCGTACAATGTACTATTTGTATAAGTCACTACACACTTTCCAAAGTTGAATAGTCAAGATCACCATTGGCTACTTACGATGCATGCTTCAATTTGTAGTCACTGCATCATGCCACTTTTTTTTCCCCCCTCTCATTTTCGGTTGCTCACCACTAACAGGAAACAGCTTTTAGACTCCAGCATGAGTTGCATGCATTTACACGATATAAATGTTAAAAAAAAATCTATTTTATATTTTGTAACGAAAAAGGCACATAACCTATGGGTGGAACTATGCAGAGGGTAATGTGGTTGTGGTATTTCATCTATCATTATCAACATAGCAACTTTCATTTTCACAGCGGCATTTTTAATTGTTTTTTTTTGTTTGCCACCTTCAGGTAACTTTAATTGACATTACTAGATACATTTTTAAAAATACATGTTTGGTTATGCGTACCTGCGTTTTGCTATAAACCTTAAAAGACTTTGGGTAGCTGAGTATGCTTAAAACATACGCTGTAAGGCACCAGTAGCCCAACCACACTAAGCACAAACAAAGGAGGAAGCATGTCTTTTGTGAAGTTCACATGAAAAGTTTTAAAGGTCTTTAAACAGTGCTCAGTGAAATATAAAAGCGGTTGGATAAGTATTGGAAATAATAGTACTAAAAAGATTTTGTATAATGGCAACCACCTGCTGAGTGGCTACCAATGTATGAACAAAATCATTCAAAAAATAGTCTTTAATAATTGAAGTCACCTGCCAATACGCTACCAGAAGTAACATCCAAAGCACTTGTGATCCACATGTGACTCCCAATCCACTGCTTTAGGACTTGGCTAGTATAAGGGAGAATTGTTGCCAGGGACGGATTTCCCACAAGGCCAACCAAGGCCCGGCCTTGGGGCAGCAGGGGTGTGGAATTCCTATCTCCCAATGCCTGGAACATGCAGTTCCGGAGGGTAGTTGTTTTCTACATTAAGCCCTGCTTTGGGCAAGCAGAGCTAAATGTACCGCGGGGAGGCCGCAATGTCGCCGACATCACTTGTTTGCAGCCTGCAGGGGGGTGCATTGAGCAACCTGGCCTTGGGGCAGGAGAGAGAGTAAATCCGGCCCTGATTGTTGCCATTAAGAGAAAACAGATCATAATGTGTAAGCCACATGCAACTGGACTTGTTGTTTAATGTAGAAGATGTTTCACCTTTCGTCCAAGTGGTTTCCTCAGTTCTAATGTGTGCCAGAAACAAACTGGAACATTTAAACTCAAATGGACAACCCAGTTTGGACCAAGCCACCTGTGTTTCCCATGTGACTGAAAATGCTATGTTAGATTCCGTACACTCATTAGAACCTGAGGAAGCCTCTTGGACGATCAGTGAAATGTCCTCAGCATTATTAAAGTCCACTTGAATGTGACAACAACTATCTGTACCTTTAAAGACATTTTAGGGTTAAATTCCCGGGGTCTGCATACCTGCTATGGACAATGGGACTACTCTCCCAGTGGAGTGGAGTTCCCACTCTCCCTGTTGAATTCTTTTTTTAATGCTATTAGGAGTAGAATAGGAGAATGTGGATAACGGAAAGGTGGGGGAAAACACCGGAAACCTTCGCAAGAGGAGAGGAACAGAGTATGGAATTATGGAAGAAGCTAGGGGCTGCCTTGCAGTATCTTGCCAAGTTTTCACCTATAGCTAGCTAGTATTAATTTTGGTTGGACTAGCACTTTAAAGTGACATTAAAGTCAAACTTTTTATTTCCCCCCCTTCCCAATCCTGCTGTAGGGACTTACCTCAAATGATGCCTCTTAATCAGATCATATTCTTTTCTGTCCTTTTTCAGATGTCCCTCCAGCGCTGGTGCGGGTCTCCGATCCAGCGCTGACTCCTCTGTCCTCCTCTTCTCTCATGTCCCATGGAGTCTGTGTGGTTGCACGCTCCTCCATAGACTAACCTTGTGTCTCTCCTCGTCTCCCTGCCGAACATCTGATGTGCGCATGCGCCCGCCCCAAGATCCTTTGCGGCCGCCCGAGACTCTTCAGATGTTCAGACGGGAGCGCGCGGCGAAGACCCAGGTAAGTTTAAACCCTTTTAAAAGGTTTTTAAAAAAAAAATTTTGCATCTATCTATTGCTTGCTAGCAGCAGATAGATGGAAAAACACGCAAGGGTTTAATAATCCTTTAAATGAAGGGAAAGTCTGCTGCTCCCCCTATTCTAAAATCTTTCCTGCCTAAGGCTTAGCCGCTGTCACCTTTGCACACGGGTCTGGACTTTCTGGACACAAGCGATGCCGGCATCATCATGCGCAGATGCCCAAATCACTGTGTGACGTTGTTATGTTTCTGAAGTGAAGCCCAGGCATTCAAGGCTTTTAGTTGTGCTTTTCAGGTTATCCTTATCTCATAAACAAACTTTATGACTTTTCCTGCCCATGGAAATGGCATGGCACTGCTCTCCTCCATGTGATAAAACAGTAGCACACAGTAGCTCTGTGTCATATCTTAGAGCAACAATAATACTGTCTACCTTATAATATATAGTAGGGATGCACCAATACTTTTCGAGTACCAATGCCGATACTTGGCATTTTCACAAGAACTACCAGGGTTGCAGCGGTTGCAGCTGGGACTTGGCTCTGGCACTCCACCACTGTCCTGAAATCATTAGTCTGTATTGTTTTAGAAAAACTGTTACATGACAATAAACAAAAATGTATCAGTGCTCTTACTTGTAAGTACTCGGGCAAGTACCAGTACTCGTACTCGCAAAAATGGTATCTGTGCATCCCTTTATTTATATTTAAAAAAACAAAATCATACATTAAAACAGAGATATACAAATCCCAGGAGCTCCGTGTGCTCCTTACACATGACGGTTGCCTCCTAATTTTTGAATTTTTCTCTAGTGTAGTCTTGGAGCTCGAAAAGTATCGGTACTTGTACTTGTACCGAGTACTGTACTTGGTATTGGTGCATCCCTAATATAAAGGTATAGCTAAGGATATAGAATGGTAAAACAGTGTAAAGCATACCTAAGGATCTATAATGGTAGAGCAGCATAAAGCATACCTAATGAAGTTTGAAATAGGTATATATCAGCCAGTCGATTAAAGTCACCTTAAGATTGGTCTAGCTTCTTCATATTCATCCCTCTATACCAAAAAAAAAATCACTGAAAAGCATAAAGCTTAATTATTTTCTTTACCTTATCAATGAACTAACTTAATTGATCACCCATCTGAAATGTATTTAAAATTTCTATCTAGATATGCCAAGGGAAATTTGCCTATTTATATTCTGGATTTCTTTTTTCTTTGTGGTCTGAAGTTTACATAAGTACTGTTATACAAATATCATTTTTTTAAATGTTGTTATAAGACTGAATACAATGATTGTATTATCTAATGTTAATTTGGGTTATTTCGACTGTTTTGCTTTTTTCAGATGCTGTGCAGTACCAACCTATAGACTGCAGATGTCACTCTTGCTATAAAAGAAAAATACGATGTTAGCCTTTTATGATAGGGAACTCTCCAGCTGTGAGCTGTTAAAAGATGTCAGTAAACCTCAATGGAACTTAAAGGGAACCTGTCATAAGACAAATGTAGGTTGCGTTATTAGCAAACCCTTACTGAAAATTCTAATCGCCTGGCTGGCATGTTGACCATATGATTTTACTATTTAGCGAGGCTCTGGGTTGAAACAAGTATACTGGTTGGGAGTTCCTGGTCCTGCTGCATGCATGTTCCCTATCAGTGACCCATGGAATTGAGAAACTTGAGCATAACCATGACAGCATGCCAGTTGGCAGTTTCAAAATGAGTTTAACTTGAAATTGTGAAGCTTGCGGATCACCAAACAAATTTTTTCAATGTAAAGGTTATTATAGAACATTGAAAAAAATTGAGATGAATGAGGATAATTCTGTTTGTATGGCATTTCCTCCTAACAAGGGTCATTGTTAATATTCTGCAGCTTCTTGAGGTCGGTGTGTACTGATACCATTTTACAAAAATGGTATCAGTACAGTATAGAAGCTTGAAAGCCAACCCTCACTGACTTCTGTACCTATTGACACTGTGGAGCCTTTTATCCTCAAAGTTAACAAGAGAAGCACTGAACTTGTTCAAATAGGGTCTCCACACTCTTCCCCTCTTCCTGTGCACATGCTTTGTGTTTACATTAGAGATTAGAAGACTGGCAGGCCACCAAGTCAATGCTGGGAGGAGGGAACTAATGGACCTAGTGATGGAAAATGAAAGTGATCCTTTGAGGATGAATTTCTCCATGGTGTCTACAGCTAGAGAGGTCAGTGAGAACTTGTGTTAAAGCATTTTTACTGCTTCTTAACAATATGTAAACAGTTGGCTGGCCATGATTTTTACTTGTCTACGTTTATGTCTTGTTTCTTTTTTAATATTGTCTGTATGTTAAAAAGAAAAGCTTTTGCAAATGTCGTCGTTTTACATTTTCTGTACACAGGCAGATAGGGTTAATATAATGGTTACTTTTTAGAGTCTGTAAACCTTTTATTTTTAGTTGTAAAGAACTGGTGAGCCAAAGGCACATGTATCTTCTGACACCACTCTCCTCTGCCATGTGTTTAGGGAGAGACCAACCAAATGGCATGCACAATGGGTCTTTGGGTGTAGACAGAAAAAAGCAAATGGTCGGCCCCTAAAAGGCATTATATACTCTACTACTAAATAATGCTAGCAAACAATTAGAAAGGTATTTTACCCTGGTAACACCCATGTGTTATTCACAATTTTGGGCACATGAAAACAAGATAAAGTCTGCAGGGGACTTGAAGGGTCATCTAACCATTTTGATTTCCAATCTATTTTAGGGACTTTAGTAGTGGGATCCTTGCTCTTAAAGAGGGCACTCTGTCCATCTGAATGTCGCAGCTGAAATTGAGACTCATCAGAACAGGCAATATTTTTCTCAATCTGCTATTGTCCAATTTTGGTGAGCCTGTGCGTATTGTAGCCTCTGTTTCCTGTTCTTAGCTGACAGGAGTGGCACCCGGTGTGGTCTACTTCTGCTGTACTTCTGCTGTAGCCCATTTGATTCAACTTCTACTTCTGCTGTAGCCCATTTGATTCAAGGTTGGACGTGTTGTGCGCTCAGAGATGGTATTCTCCATACCTTGGTTCTAACGAGTGGTTATTTGTTTTGCTGTTGCCTTTCTATCATTTCGAACCATGCGATTGACCGATTAGTATTTTGTGTTACCAAGCAATTGAACAGGTGTACCTAATAAAGTGGCCGGTGAGTGTATTTTACACAGGAAAAATTTAAGTAATATAGAAGGTGCCAGAGCCCAGGATGTGTCAGAAATTGGTGTCACCGATATTTATATAATGGTTCATCTCACTACCATACTCTGCCTATAATTGACACCCACTTTTGGGAAGACCATTACCTAAATGA